AGGTGTACTCCTTTCTTGGTAGCTACACACCATCATGCAGAAGGTATTTTGATCTAGTGCATCGTGATATATGCGGACCAATCATACGAAGAACACACGGAGGGCACAACTACTTTTTACTTCTAGTGGATGATGAAGTTCAAGTCCAGTGTCGAGGTGGAAACATGGCGACGTCTGCGGGCACTGTGAACTGATTGAGAGGAAGATTTAAATTCATTCAAGTTTAGACAGTACTGTGAAGATCAATGGATTTCACGACAACTTACGACACCATATTCACCCCCAATAGAATGGTGTCATGGAATGATGCAACCAAACCATTGTCGGCATGGCATGAAGTCTGCTCAAAGTAAAAAGGAAGCTGATAGAACTTCGAAGAAAAATTGTCGCCACTGCAGTATTTCTACCCATTTAAATGAAGAAGTTGGGTGACTATTAGTAAAGCCAATTCAGTTATCAAAATATTCTAATGTGGGACAAATAATGCTCACTTTTGTTATCTTTCTCAACAATTTTCCCACAAATGAAAATACCCATTTAACTTTAATTTGGGGCATTGACAGCCGGAGCCGGACATTGAAGCAGTAATATCTTTTAATTTGAATTAATAGTAAAATGACACAATTTGATCAGATGGTGAATATAAATGAAATTTTGATTTCCAAGTAGAGTTTAAAATTAAAGAAAAAATTGATAAAGAAAGCTTAGTTTGGCTCATTCGTTTTAAATGAGTTGATCTCAAAAAAAAAAAAAAAAAACTAAGTTGATTTTGTTAATGAAGGAACATGAGCTATGTTCACAAAGTTTGACAAAGTTTTTATATTTTTGCTACGAAGGTGTTTTTACATAAATTGCTAAAGTCTAAAATAACTTTGAATTCACGGAGATTAAAAGTAAAATGTGAGATAATATTTTAATAAATAGAAGTAAGAATATAGATAAATTAGTAATTAGATAAAATTATATAATCGGTAAGTGAAAATAAGCTATTTATTAGGTATAAGACAACTTTAAATCATAAGTGTAAATATTTAGTTGCAACAGAGATAGGAGTTTTTATTATGTTCAATAATAATTTCTAATATCTTTCCATAGCATTGTTGGCTTAAACATTTATTTTCTAATTTGTTAGATTTGACTCCTTTTCTATTTACTAGTTGTTGAGCACAAAAAATGATTGATAGATTTTTAGGGAATGGACCTGCCAAGATTAGGTTATTTGAAACATCTAGTGGACTTTTTGAAAGTCCAAGTATGATTGCAATAACCGGGTCGGATGAGCTTAGGGTCAGATGTTAAGATCAAACCTGGTCGGGTTAATCCCAAAGGTCGGACGGATGATAAGATTGGACCTGGTCGGGACCAAATAGTTCGGATGTTAAAGTCGGACCTAGTCAGGACAAATTTCAAGGGTCGGATGTAAGAAAATCGGACGGATGATGAGATTGGACCTGGTCGGGACTAAATAGTTCGGATAGTGAAGTCGGACCTAGTCGGGACAAATTCCAATGGTCGGGTGTAAGAAGGTCGGACATTGAAGTCGGACCAAGTTCAAAGGTCAGGTAGTAAAAGTAGCTATCTTGCAGGTCAGGTAAAAAGCAGTTTCTGATAGTGGAGGGTAGTTTCAACTGGCGAGCGATTTTCAAAGGTCGGACGTGATAGGACGGTTCTCATACGTGTCGATGGAAGAGAACTTTTTGGGGAGTTAACAACGGTTATGGTAACAGACCGGATAGCGGTTCGAACCGTATTTTCAAGGGATTATTTAAGGATTCCGTACTGTATAGAGGAGGGATCTTCAATCGACATCAAATTCAAGAGAATTGTTTTTGGGGATCACCACTTTTAATTTTCCAGTCTTTTATTTTATTTTCCTTATTTTACTTTATGAATTCTACAGTGTTTAGAGATCTTTAATCTCAGGCACTCATCTATCAAATTCGGGGATATTTCTTTATTTTCGGATTTTACTTTTTATTGTTGAAAAAACGCATCAACAATTTGGCGACCACAGTGGGAGAAAGGCAAAATTGCCGATCCTACGTCAACGGAGAGTTTCATACGATTGAGGTCCGGCCGAATCGTCGGAAGGATCCACATGGCAGGCTCACAGCCTCAATCATCTTCGGCGCCGGTGGGCGAAACGGTTTCACCACCTGTCATGCCAAATACAGGAGAAATGCCACAAACACCTGCTGACTGGGTTTCTTATGTTCAGCAATTGAACAACCAGCATAATTTGGCCATGCAGAATATGTTGGGTGAGCAACAAAACCTTATGCAAAATACGTTAAATCAGGCGTTATCAAGGGTTACTTTGCAACCCATCCAGACGCCACCAGAACTATCACCATCCAGGTTACAGGCAAATTTTGCGGGGCCCTCATATGTGGACAACACTTTTCCAAGTGTTACTGCTCCAAGGGTTGACAGAGGGAAGACTCCTCTTACATACCCGAATAATATTCCGTTGGGTGTTAGGACCGAGCCTACCGACCTCAGAGGGGAAAGATTGGGAGGCCAGGCTCACAATCCTATTCATGTATTGGATCCTGTCCCACCCAGAGTAGACCCAGAGGACATTGCTCAGGTCTTGAGGGTACATTTTGGAATGAACCCCTAGACGGTCAACAGACCTGCGTACCAGAGGCCATTTCCAGAAAGAATCATCAACGAGCATCCGCTTCCAAGGAATTACAGGCCACCCAATTTTCATTCATTTTCTGGAGAAGATGGGGCATCAACTATTGAGCATGTGGGACGTTTCACGGCTCAATTAGGGGAAGTAGGCAATAATTCTTTCTATAAATTACAATTGTTCGAGATATCGCTTACAAGGACCGTTTTTTCATGGTTTGCAAATTTGCCACCCGGGCAGTTGCAAACCTGGGAGAGTCTGGAGGCAGCATTTCATGCAAGATTTTTTAATCCTCTCCCGACAGTCTCACTCACAGATCTTTTAGAGATCCGACAGATGCCAGAATAGACCGCGTATCAGTTTATTGACCGGATACGACTCATGAAAGGCAGATGCCCGACAATCATCGAAGAAAGTGGAATGACCAATTTGGTGGTCAGGAACATGTATTCCAGACTTCGGGAGGCATTGACAGCCCATGATGTTCAGGACTTGGCTAGTCTGGCCTCCAAAGCAGGGAGATTAGAATCTTTGTTTAGAGAAAAAGATCACAACTTTCATCGGAACAGGGTACAACAAATGACGAGTGTTGATACAGAGATTTATTCGCCAGATGAAGGAAATATTCTTGAAGAGATGGCAACTGAAATTGTGAATGGCAAACCGTACGTATGTTCAAAACTAAAGCCATTTCCAGGAACAGAGGAGAGGGAGCAGCCGACCTTCGATGTATCCAAGGCCGAAGAGATCTTCGATATTCTATTAGCGGATGGGAAGATTCGCATTCCTAAAGGGCAAAATTTGGCAATGAAGGAGGAAATAAAGGGAAGGCCATACTATAAGTGGCATAATTCCTTTACTCATTACACTAATCAATGCACACATTTCCGAAAGGAAATACAAAAGGCTATCAAAGCAGGAATATTCAAATATGTAACAATAGGAGTAGAGCATCAGCCCTTCCCAAAAGTAACTACTGCAATGATCTCTTTGCGGTCTTCGCAAGTTGTGCAAAGTGATGATGAAGAAGACACCAGACGAAAAGAACGCAAGCCTAAAGAACGGGAATCCAATCAGGAAGTGAAATTCAAAGTTTGTGAAACTAGAGTAGCAGAAAAATGGGACAGAGAAGATGGGTCGTTCAAAGTAGAATTGAAAGATAAAGTCGTGGTACGGGACCGACCAACACGCAAACCACATCCAGTCCAAGAGAAATGGAGCCGAAACAGAAAGCCTCTGCCAATATACATAGACCCTCAATTTCCAAGTATGAATCGCACACAAATTCGTAATGCTAAACACAGGTATGCAGCGCGGCATGGAAAGTGAACAGATAAGGGTAAAGAGAAGAGAGAATCGTCACCTAAAAGGAAGGACTTGAATGATGAAACAGAGGAGCAAGGGCAGAACAGCAAGCCTATCAAGAAGGCCAGATGTTTTCAATGTCAATTCTGCACACGGATCAATATTGATCTTGAAATAGAAAGTGCAGAGGAGGAGACCCCTGAGATTATTTTCGGATCATTTGCCCCAGAAGAGACAAAAGTTTTGCGCAGCAAGATAGTAAAACCTGATAAAGCAGGATTCGAAGTCAGGATGACGGATATGCGATGGTTCGTTGAAGAAGAACCCATTTGGGCAAAGTTCGAGGATGAGGAAGAACCAGAATGGGCAGCAATGGTTGGCAGACCTCCACCTATGGCTTTTTTACCTATACCAGAAGGAGCAATTCCGCATTTAAAACCACTCTATGTTAACGCTCACATATGTGGTAAGCCGGTTAACAAGGTTTTTATCGATAATAGGGATGTTTTCAATGTCATGCCCCTCAAAAATTTAAGAAAATTGGGCAAAGAGGTTGGCGATTTGTCTCCAGTAGACATCGAGATGACAAGCTTCACAGGACAACCGACCAAACCAGAAGGGATGATGGTGGCACCCATTGAGGTTGGACCGAAGGTGATTTCGACCGTGTTTTTTGTTGTGGATGCCAATACTACCTACTCAGTTTTATTGGGGCGAGACTGGATTCACGCTTCCAAGTGCGTGCCTTCTTCTCTCCATCAACAGATTATGTTTTGGGAAGGAGATCGGGTTTTCACTATGGAAGCCAGTACAAATCCGTTCGGTTCTACAGAAGGAGTGGAAGAATCGGTTCTTTATACGGAGTACGTACCACCGATTTCACGGACAACTATGGTAGATGAGTATCCCTGGAAGGGCTGTAAGCTCACTACGTAGGGTTGTGTGTTTCATTAGAAACAATCTTCTGTATTATGGCTCTGTTGTTAGCCAAAATAAACTTTTATTTGAAGTTTAATTTATGGAAGAAATAAATAAATGTGATAAACTGATTAGGCAGTTTTATTTAAACCAATTAATGGTTAGACTACATAATAATAGAATTTCCAACAATAATGTTGGTGAAGAATAAGGTTTTCGCTGGCCTGACCTCTTGGAAAAGACAGAAACTTCTTTGTCAAGTCAGGATCCTCTTATTGAATATAATGTGGGAACCAAACAGATACCCAAGATGGTCAGGGTAAGTGGTTTACTGACGAAAAATAAACATGAGCGAATGGTAGCGTTAATTCAAGATCACAAGGAATGTCTGGCATGGGATTATTCCGAAATGTCCGGACTGGCGCGCAGTTTAATAGAAGATAGGTTGCCTATTAAAAAAGGGTTTAAGCCTTACAAGCAACCACCAAGAAGAGTGAGTCTAGAATTGATGCCCCAGATCAAAGAAAAAATTGAGAAGCTACTAAAAGTTGGTTTCATTCGTCCATGTCGATATGCGGAATGGTTAGCCAATATCGTTCCGGTAACCAAGAAAAATGGAAAGATCCGAATTTGCATCGACTTTAGAGATCTCAATCTCGCCACTCCAAAAGATGAATATGTCATGCCTATAGCAGACATATTGATCGATTCTGCGGCGGGACACCGGATTTTGAGTTTAATGGATGGATACGCAGGGTATAACCAAATTTCATTGGCAGAAGAAGATATACCCAAAACTGCATTTAGGTGTCCAGGAGCGTTGGGAATTTATGAATGGACAGTTATGCCATTCGGTTTAAAGAATGCTGGAGCGACTTACCAACGGGCTATGAACACTATCTTTCATGATCTTATTGGGCGGTCAATGGAGGTATATATTGATGATGTGATCATTAAGTCTAACGACTTTGATTCACATTTGGTTGATTTAAAAAATGCTTTTATTCGGATGAAGCAGTACAACTTGAAAATGAACCCAATGAAATGTGCCTTTGGAGTTTCGGCGGGGAATTTCTTGGGGTTTTTAGTACATGAAAAAGGAATAGAGATTGACGCGAACAAAGCCAAAGCTGTTCTAACAATGCGGTTGCCTCAGTCGGTCAAAGAAGTACAAAGTTTTTTGGGAAAGGTGAATTACCTAAGGTGTTTTATATCAAACGCCGCAGGGAAATTAAAACCTATCACAAAATTATTATGGAATAAGGCCACCGATATTGCTTGGGGTCGGGACCAACAGAAGGCATTGGAGGAAATCAAGGAGGCCTTGGTTAACCCGCCTGTGTTGGTTCCTCCAAGAGGCGACCGACCTCTTCGGTTATATTTGGCGAACAGTTTTGATGTGGTAAGCAGTCTTTTGGTGCTATAATGGGAAGATGGTAAGGAAAGAGCCATTTATTATTTGAGTAAAACTTTAGCAGGACCTGAGTTGAATTATAGTATGCCGGAAAAAATGTGTTATTCTTTAGTCTTTGCTTGCACTCGGTTGGAACATTATATTCTGCCAAGAGAAACCGAAGTGGTTTCTAAAATGGATTTGGTCAGACTAATGTTGCACAGACCAACCATGCAAGGTAGATTAATGAAGTGGGCTATTAAGTTGGCTCCCTTTGCATTACACCACCGACCTCTCAAGGCTGTGAAAGGGCAGGTTGTGGCTGATTTGTTGGTTGAGCTTACAAGCAATGGGTCATCAGAAAAAGAAATAATGCCATATGTTGGCACCAGTCCTTGGAAAATGTTTTTTGGTGGCTCCCGTTCGAAAGGAAAGTCGGGAGCATGAGTGATACTAGAAGGACCAGGAGGCGGCAAAATTAATTTGCAGCTTCAAATGGAAGATATGACGCATAACTCCGCAGAATATGAACGACTGATTTTGGGTCTGGAAGCACTTATCACTAAGGGAGTGCAGTCTGTTCTACTATATGGGGATTCTCAACTTGTTATCAACCAAGTATTGAAACGGTAAGCGTGTAATTTTCCCCATTTGCATAGATACCGAGATGTAGTGCTACATTTGTTATATAGAATCGGGGAAGTAGTTTTTGAGCATGTACCAAGAGCAGAGAATCAGTTGGCTGATAATCTGGCTCAGAGTGCTTGTCAGCAGTTGATTGGCAGTATCGATTCTGGGACTGATTGGAGAACAGAGATTATGGTATATTTGGAATCTCCAAATTCTACTACTCCTATTCGTATTCGTTTAGAGGCTTTGCGTTTTCAGCTTATTGATGGGATTTTATATAAAAGAACCTTCGAAGGGGTTTTGTTGAGGTGTTTGGGACCTGAGGAGTCTATTAAAATAATGGAGGAGGTCCATGGAGGGATATGTGGCGCGCATCGGGCAGGTTTAAATATGCGATGGGCCATCCATCGTATGGGATTCTATTGGCCGAAATTTTTTTATGATTGTATCAGATTTGCCAAGGGATGTCAAGAGTGCCAGAAGCATGGTCCTTTACATCATCTGCCAACAGTAGATTTGCAGACAATGGTTAAACCTTGGCCATTCAAAGGTTGGGCGTTAGATGTAATTGGGAAAATTCATCCGGCCTAGTCGAAACAACATTCTTTTATTTTGGTGGCGACTGATTATTTTACCAAATGGGTGGAAGCAGTTCCTTTGAAAAATGCGACGCAGAAAGAAGTGATTGAATTCGTACTCAATCATATCATCTACCAATTTGGAATTCCTCACACTCTCACAACCGATCAAGGGTTGATGTTTACTGGGGAAAATTTCGTTGAGTTTTTGGCTGAACATAATGTTAAATTACACCATTCTTCACCATATTACCCGCAGGCGAATGGATTGGCCAAAGCAGCAAATAAGATTATTATTGGCATTATTCGGAAAATGGTGGAGGAGAATCCAAGGAAATGGCATACTTTGCTATCTCAGGCACTGTGGGCTCATCGGAATAGTAGAAATGTCTCTACTGGATTCTCTCCATACCAATTAACATTCAGGCAAGATGCAGTATTACCTGCAGAATTTGTTGTGCCTTCACCCAGGGTGACTAGTACGACATCCTGCATTGATGAGGTGTATTTACAAAAGATGTGGCGACAATTGGAAGAGTTAGATACAGATCGATGAACGCTTTGGACCAAGTGGTGAGGCAGAGCGAGATTAGGGCAAAATACTATGGGAAGAAAGTGGTCCCTAAGTTTTTTGCAGAAGGCGATCTGGTCTGGAAGACAATTCTGCCGACCTATAAGAAAGTGGATCAATTAGGGAAGTGGTCTCCCAATTGGGAAGGTCCTTTCATCATTCATAAAGTAATTGGGAATGGAGCTTTTATTATCATAAATCAAGAAGGGAAAATGGTACATGAGAATATTAATGCTAAGTATCTGAAAAGGTATTACCCTGCCTTTTCGGAACTTTGTCATTAATTATTTAAAAAGGAAAAAATATCATAGGGACCCTCTAAAGGGTTCGAACCCATTGGTAAAAGGGTTCTCTAGTCATCAGAAAGATTGATGGTATCATCCCAAAGTGCCGAGACCATTTCAGGTTCTTCATCCAGAAGGTCATCCAAATCCAAGCGGTAGCGATCCCATCTGTCTTGCATGTCTTGAAGATTTTGTTCAGTTCGGGACTTCATGTCTTGCAAGGACTGAATCTCTCGTTCCGCAAGGACACTCAGTCTGGAGAGCGTTGATCTTTGTGGTTGGAAATCGTTGTTCCAACTAAGGTCTGGGAGAATGGCGGTTACGTGATGGTTTATCATGTCTAGATGATGATCAAGATCCGATATGCGTGTAAGTATATCGGTATAAGGTTCATAGCTGGTGGATATATGCTCCATCAGTCGGATGGTACGATGAATGGTTCTCCTGCCTCTGCCGGAGAATCTAAATTTGAAATTCAGTTGTTTCAGAACCTGTATCATATCTTCAGCATGATGGCCTATGGAGTGCTTTCCCACTAAGAATGGTTGGAGAGCACATTCCCAGTTGGAAAGAGGAACGCGGAGGCGAGGAGAAACCATGTTGAATAAAAGGGTAATGATGATGACATTTTGGAGGTTTGAGGTACGGAGTTTACATAGATATTTTGGTCTCTAAGTTAGGTAATTTAGTAATAGGCAATAAACATGGATCTGTGTTTGCTTGTTAGACTTAGTATAAACGCAGGAAAGATAGGATCTAGTTTCTAAAATAGGAATTAATAATATACAAGTCAAGTCTGAAGCAATTTACATGATATTTGAACTACATGGAGAGAAGGGCCCGTAAGGCAGTTTTAAGGTCGGACCATTTTAGTTCTGACTTGATGGCCCGTCGTCGTTGGTAAGCTTTTTGATGTCTCTGGACGAGTCTTGTTTGTATAGCTATCTGAAGTTGCTCGCAAAGACTGGTTTGGTTAAGGCAATGTGTTTCAACCAGACGACTTCCTTCATGTATGCTATCATCTAGAGCTTCCAATCGTTCTTGAAGTCGTCGAAGTTCTTCAGTCTTTTGGGAGATTTCAGTAGCTAATGTATGTCTTTCCTATCAGAGCTCGTCCAGTCGGGTCCTGGCCATGCTGAGGTCTTGGTCAGCCTTCCTTAAATCTGCTTCAATATTGTTAGGATCTGCAGCTGGACGGGATGAAGTCGCCTCGGATGATGGAGGTTGGATCAGAGGAAGTTCAGCTTGAAGTTTGGTGATCCTGGCCATCATCCGATCGAGAACAGGTGAAGCTCCCGACTCCAAGGCAGGTTGAACCAATAAGGTTATTGCGACTTGGACTAGCGCCGAAAGGTCAGCCAGTTCTAAGTCAGCAAAATCCAAATTGGCGCAACGTTCCACAATGGTTCTGACGGGAGTCGGGAGGTTTATTCGGGTCAAAATGTTCATCTCCTAGGTAGCCTAAAACAGGATGAGATTAGCAAGCTAAGAGACATGGTAAAATTCTTGAGAGATAAGGTTGGAAGGTTACTTGATTCAGGGCAGCCGTAGCCTCAGAAGGGGCCATGAGTTGGAAATTGAGGGGTTGATTGGACGAATAGTCAGACGAGTAACTGATTCATCCCCTGGTGGAAGATGTTGGGCAGCTGCTAATTCCATACCCTGAACAAAAGACAAGAAATTTCAACACTATTGGATGGGCGAAAATTTAAATCAAAAAAAAAATGGATAAGAAAGGGTACCAACCGGACCCAGCGGGTCAAAATTAACGGAAGCTTCACCCGACTTTGAGGAGGAAATTTCCTCTACATCATGGGGTGGTAGGTCTGGTTGTACTGGTTCGGGAGCAGTAAGAGGAACCTCATCAACTTGTTGGACAAGTGGATCGGGTAAAGCCACGACCTGGTTGGGTTCGGGCAATACCACATTTTCAATGGGTGCCTGGTCGGAATAGGTTTTAAG